GATACATACAAATATATGTGTATATATTAAAATTGATTATGTTAAAAGTCATTATTAATATGATATAAAGCGGCTAATATTTTTTTAATATTTTGATATTAAGATCATACATTTCAGATTATTTTTTGATCGATACATTTCAGTTATTTTTGATTTGTACATTTGTATTCCAAATTCTTACAATCAGAGAGTACAGCATTAGTTTATACAGAAAAAAAAAAAATTAAAAAATTAAAGAAACGAGAACTCAGAAAAGAAGAAGATGGAAGAAAAATCGATTCGAGGATGCTGACAAATATTTTCTCATATTTCTTACATAAGCGGAAACGTTTATTTAAGATCATTATTTCTGTATGTTAATAAATTTTGCTACTCATATATTGTGCTTGTGATGTTATCTAGAAATGAATTTCATAGTATTTAAAAAATAGACACTCGGTTCCAACACTTGCGGATTTTTTTATGCACTTATAGGTAATTTTAAAGTGTGTAGAATTTGCACGTAATATGAAAGAAACATGAAATATTCAAAATTATATTAAAAAATAATATCATAATATTATAAAATTACATTACAAAATAATATTGTAGAGTTTTCTTTAACATAACGTAATATTTTATCGGAATGCTGTTTTCTAAATTAATATTTCGAAAATGTGAATTTGCATAAAAACCCGTAGTTTAATTATATCATTTCGAATTATATCATATTATGTTTTTATAATTAATTAACATTCATCATTATGTTTTTATAATTAATTAACAGTGAACGAAATTTTTTACAATCCAAAGTTAAAACGATCTTTGATTACCTTTGACCCCCAAAGAACAAACGAATCCACTTTATATCAGGTTTTTTTTATAAAATCTTTGAAATCAACAGCATGTACGCAATAATAATAATAAGAAAATATGTATATTTTTTACTTATATATAGAAACAAGCATTTACCAGTAAGACCGCAAAGAACGAAAATTACACGTTCTGCTTGATACACTTCCCTTCTCTCTTGTGAAAAAGCAACTTCATTACATCTAGGTACTTATTACGTCTTTTTTTGTCAGAATGCTTCAAATGAACTGTTGCCTAATTATAAACACGCTTTATGCAATTTTATAGGAAGTCTGGAAACGTGTTACATACACATGTAAGCGAATTTGTTTCTTTTGTCACGGTTTTACAGTGGCAAATTTATCTCGGTTAAATCGATTTGTATTACATAAAAGTGGAAAGTGTTTTGAAAATGTTTTATACACGTTCGAACACACTTTGTAATTCAAATTTTATATTGAATGCTGTCGAAAGGTCCTAAGAAAGTGAAACTTGTTCAGTGTTGCCACATTTAATGCTATCGAATCACCGGACCATTCACTTCCTGATGAAACTGCGTAATTCACTTCATTCTTATGGACGTCCATCACCAAAATAACAATCTTTTTAATCGAAAAACATTGTTATAAAACTTATCGTCATGTAATCGAAATATCTGTTGTGTTTTCGTTTGAGATCGATGGATTTGAACGTCAGTTTAAATATACCGCTGTTTTAATTATTGTATGATATGTAGTTTGAATGCAAGAAATAATATGCATATGTGTGGAATAAACAATGATTTATGGTCTGATTACCATCGCTACTTTCTCGAGAATAATTCTCGCGTAATACACGAGATCGTTGTAATATCAGTATATCATAATGTTATTATGTCATTGTAAAATATTACCATAACGCGGGAGATCATACGTTTGAAGAAACAGTTGAATATTCAATTAGAGAAAGAAATGTTACCATGTCTCGAAAAATACTTTCACTGTCAATGTACATGACGAATTGTTAGCGTAATTGACGTTTATTTTTAGCACGAGTTAACCAGTTAATGTTTGTTTGCTTAAAGACTTAACGTTAACGTAATGTCAGATACGTTTGTTGCATCGCCTAAACGTAGCTGGATTTTTTATTTTATCACGTATTTCATTCACGTATGTCCTTTTTAAGAAATAGCATCTTGCATTGTAATATAGTGAAAAAGATCTTTTTGTCAGAGTTTCCTAAAATCCGGTGAACCCTTCAGATGTTATCACGAACCAGATTCAGTAATGTCTGACAAAAATGAATTTTGCATCGATACGTCGAAAGCGCCAATCCACTGGAAAGACTAGTCCAATTTTATTTTCTCCTTGGACTTCGTTCAAATATCAGACAGTGACTGACTTTGCCGAGATTCGCAGAGATAAATGAACGTGCAGTTATGAAACATTCGCCGGCAAAAACAGAATTGAGAAAGTTAGGTGAAGAAATTGGCTAAATGAAAGAGAGAAAAATGTAGAACAGTGAAAAAGGAAAGGATGCGGTTGCAAATCTGTTAGAAATATTCCTTCTATTTTAGAATGTAATCTAAATAATTAAATAAATACGCGATACCGGCGAAAATGGAAACACAGTTATTTGCAAATAATTTCCAACAATAAATGATTCTCAATGAATAAGTTATTGCCTGCGCAACATAAGGGAAAAGTATGCCATTTACTGAAGTATACCAAGTAACCGGTTTCAATTTATGAATGCAAATTCTTAAATTATCTGTTACATAAACAAATAATTTAAATAAAAAGTGAATGGTTTTAAGAGGGTCACAATTTGGTTTAAGTAGTTATTTTGTAGATGAAAGTCATTTCCATTTTTTAAAGTGGTCATTTCGACTCGTCAATATAGCTCGATATTCTCTATAAAAAAAAAGTATTGTAAAAATTATATTAGTTTAAAAAAAAATATTTTAGTTTTAATTTTATAAAATCTATCCTTGAAAGAGATGTATTCAATTGATTGCTAATACACGTTAGACCTTCTTTTTAAATCGAATTTGGTGTCTTTCGACCATGTTTTTTTCACATTTTATTGATTTTCGTAGATTAGAACTTCAGTTAAGGTATATCGATGTTGTTAAAAATACATACCTGTAAGGTCATTACATATGTAAGCGAAAGGATAGAAATCTGTGAAGTATACATCATGAAGGCCACAATTCGTGACTTCAATTCGTTTTCGATATTTAGAAACAAACAATAATGTTTGCAACGGATAGAGTATTATAATCTACACTTATGATAATAACTAAAAAGAAATTTTCAATCACAGGAGACAAAATTTATATCAAGTATACATATTTTGATCTTATTCTGATTAAAACGAATTATTAACTCATTAAAACAAAAGAAATGATATCGATGTTACGCATAGAATAATTTGCTAATAATTGCTAATAAATTTTCGATATTGCAAATTTTGCGCAAGCAAGAAAGAAAATACGGTTTTGCACAGTCTTTCGTAATTGTTTGTTTCAGATTTTGAAAAATGGGCGAATTGACCCAGATACAATCCTTTTATAAAGGAAAAATCATTTTTGTAACTGGTGGAACCGGTTTCATGGGAAAAGTTCTCATTGAGAAATTACTTTATAGCTGCAGCGATTTAAATAAGATTTTTATTTTGATACGGTCGAAAAGAGGTCGTACTCCTGAAATACGTGTCGACGAAATGTTTAAATTACCCGTAAGTATGAACTCTTCTCTGTATTTTAAAACTTTTCCACTTTCTCTCTTTTCCTGATTGTTTGCAATTGATCGAAGCCAATTCGATTTTTATGTAAAATTGTAAAAAAAAAGTTTTGAGAAAATAGAACTTCGGTAAAAAAATTATTTTAGGTTTTACAAAGTATTATAATATTTTATATATTTTTGAATATTTTGTATATTTTTCGTATCCTATGCAATTTTGCATCTCTTAAATCTCTCCCACGAGTATATAAAAATCCTCAGTCCAATTGTGAGTCACGTGTCGAAGTTTTTATTTATCAATTTCACATTGATTACGAAACAATTGAATGGAGAACACTGAAATTAAACGTCGAGAACTATTAATAATAATATACTTTTGCAATTAATGATTTGATTTAATGAGATTTGAGATAATGTTGAACAGATGTTCCAAAGAATACGTAAAGAAAAGCCTGAAATGATGAAGAAAGTTAAAGCCTTGAGCGGGGACGTCGGTATGAAGAATTTAGGACTGTCTAACGAGCAACTCGATATATTGATCAACGAAACTGACATAGTATTCCATTGTGCTGCAACCCTAAGATTAGAATCTAAGTTGAAAGACGCTATTGATATGAATACGGTAAATTTCTGAATTAATTTATTAATTAATTAAAAAATTTCTTCTTTTATTTAATTATTTTATTAATACTGTCGTCTAAGAGTGAGACTATAAATTAAAAGATTTCGTGCTGTCTTACATATTTCTTTCTTTTTTAAACTTATATTTTCTAATATTATTATTTTATGAATAATGTCCATTTAAGATTGGAACGAAAAGAGTTATAGAATTAAGTAAAAAGATGAAAGTGCTGAAGGCATTTGTGCATCTGAGCACAGCCTTCTGTTACGCTGATAAAGAAGAACTCGATGAGAAAGTCTACGAACCATCAGCTGATCCTCACGATGTTATGAGACTGGTTCAATGGTTGGATGAAAGTACCATCGATCTTATCACACCCAAGTAATTCATGTTTATTTATTATGTTATAGATAATTTTATCGCGATCTTACATTATTACTTCTTGTCTATGAAAATTCTAATTTTCAACAATCCTTCTTCTAAAGTATAACATATTAATTAAGAATCAAATTATTGCTCTACTTTGAATTATCCTATATTTTCAAGCTACTTTATTTAGTTAATCCAATATCGATTACTAATCCATATCGATTTTATCGAATACAGGATTTTGGATCTTCATCCGAATACTTACACGTTTTCTAAGAGATTATCCGAAAAGCTGATAGCAGATGAATATCCAAATTTACCTTGCAGCATCGCCAGACCATCGATAGGTAAAAACATAACAATTTCATCGGTAAATAATTATTTTTCAAAAGCAACTTCCAGAAAATCTGAGGTGTTATACATATACATACTGCAGTAAAGGATATCT